AATTCCCCAAGAGGCGGGGTTAATGGCAGGTTTGGCAGGGGGTAGAGGATAGTACTCATTTATTAGTAAGCATTTTTTAAAGCACGGGTCACGAGGTATGCCATGGTCCTGTGCTCAGGTGGCGCACTGGGCAGCAGTCCTCCCTGTGCGTCTGCTTTGTAGCCAGTATTAGCAGAGGTAAGGGATGCCAGTTAACTTGTGTCTGTGGGGAAAAGGTGTGTTTTGGGTCAGACACCTTGTGCTGACTGCATTTTGTCTTTACTTGAAAAGCCAGTGCTGAGGAGGGAATGAAAATAAAAAGCAAATTCCTACTGACTGTAGGGGAGCTGCTCAGGTAGCTGGCCAAAGCGTACCCATATAAAAGCATCAGCACAATAAAACTTAATGTTGCGCTAGACCAGAGTTTGACAAGAGTGAAAAACATTAGTAACTTGCAGTCTTCATTTCATGTGTACTTGGCCAGCTGCAGGGACAGGAGCAAGCCCTGGTGAGTCTGGTGTGGCATGGTAAGAACTTGCCTTTCCTCACTTTGCTCCCAGGACATCGTGGACTGGCTTGCATGCTAGCCTGGGGGTTTCTGGCAGATGCCAGCTGCGTCTAGTGAAGGTCTGCTCCCTGGGTGTGCTGCATGCCTGGCAGACTCATGATAAAGGTGCTTGGGGACATCTCACTCTCCTGACTTGCTCCAGCACTGGGCTCCCCTCATACCCACACACACACGGATACAAAGTGCATTTATATGCAGTGCACTTGGGTTATGTCACCATAGGCTCAGAGTGTGGGACACATGTATTTTTCTTTCTTAGACCGTGGGCTCTCTCTCCAAATGCTGTTGACAGCAGCGGGGACGGGCTGTGCCATTTCTCCTTGCTGCTGTTACCAGCAGCAGTCTGTTTTCTGTCTTTTAGTAATGGAGGCAAGGTGGTTTCTGCATGAGTGATCACCCAGTTTGGAACAGGCGTGTGACCAAGCATGGAAGCAGGGCTTTGTCTGTATTTGAATATATCCTAAGTGATTGGCAGGGTTCAGTCCTGGTCCCTGCAGTTAAGCAGCTGAGATGTGATTCGTGCCTTTGCAGAAGCCGGGCTGATGCCTGTACGCTGCTATTTAGTTCCATGTGTTTAGGATTTAAGTTGCAAGTAGGCTTCGTCCAGACAGGGTTAAATTTCAGTGTTTGCAAAAGCAGTTAAAGGCACTGAGGTTAAATGCATCAACAAATGCTGACTGTTTTTTTGCAATTTCGGCAACACAAGCTATCAACCCTGTCAAGTTGGCCAGTTAGACTGCCCTTAAAGCTGCTTTATTTAGCTTGAACATTGCAAATTGATAATGTATTCTACAAAATTTGATATAGTCTTTTAAGTATTAAATCTTTCAGTGGAAGCTTGTGCTGAAAGGAAAATGTAAAATGAGTCGAACAAAAATGCTCAAGGACTTTAATGTCTGAGTCAATTGATTCTGAGCAGCAATTCAACTAAGGCTTTGTCCACTATGCTGACTAAAACTTCTGTCCGTCTTTATTTCTTTTACTTCAGAACAATACTGTAAATCATATTTGTGAGAAGTTTTCTATCTTACTGTAACTGTTTTCTGATTTTTGCCTTCCTTTTTTTAAAAAAAGCAGCATTGACTGTTATGTATGCTTTGCAGCAATCATCCTAACACAATGATAAATGGCCTTTTCCCAGGTGACTTAATTCCATGTCTTATCCAGCAAATGCATTTCTCTGTAAATAGAAATATTTTAACTTCGTCTTTTTGGGCAAAGCAGTAGCAAATGACACGTGTGCACTTTGATTCCTTCCACAACATGTGCCCCACTCTACAGGCAACCCTGGCTCCGTGTGGCTGTAAGCATGGGTGACCTGGCTTTGCAGCTCACTTCTGACCTCCGTTTTGTCTTCTCTTCACAGTTGTGCAGCACATCAAGCGCCACAATATCGTTCTCAAAAGAGAACTAGGAGAAGGAGCCTTTGGGAAAGTCTTTCTGGCGGAATGCTATAACCTCTGTCCCGAGCAGGACAGGATCTTGGTGGCAGTGAAGGTAAAAGAATCTAGGGTTTCCATTATTAATTCATGGTTGCAATTAATGCTATATATTTGTAAATGATCGTGTTTGCCTATTCTGTAGCCTAGTGCAACTGCGCTGATATATGTGGAAGGGTTCACAAGGCTAATGGAGTGTTAAGAGAATGCGATATTTGATCTTGCTGTGGATATAAAATGAGAACTGAATTTCGTAAGGAAAAGGGGGGGGCTGGAACAAACTGTGTCACAAAGGGGCAAAATCTTTGATGATATATCTAAAATGTAATTAGTGAAAAATAATGTCTAGGTCATGAAAAATACATGTGACATATATGTGTGTCTAAAAAAAATAATCTGTTACTAACTAGTGAATAGGTTATGTGTATAATTGATAGTCAAAGGTGGCCTTTCTTTTTCAGGATAATGCTGTTCTTTTACTCAGCCACTGAAATTATCTATGGGTAATTGTCATTAATATAGCTACCAGGAATGTTATAACAAACTTATAGATAATATTTTCATGTGCTGTTAAACACTATCTGTGTGGAAATCCAGATGTCATGATATGTCAGACCTGGAGGAGTGATTCTTGATTATACAGCTCCAGTCAGCTCTCCCAAAATACAGTCCAGAGGATGAGGAAACTACATGAAAACAGCTGTAACCTTGGAGTTTCAAGTATACAGAATAGGCCTCACATTTGCCCACTGTAAGTGAAGAGCAGGTTCGTGACTATCTAAAGAACCTGAAGATGTTGTACAAGTCCATGGGACCTGATGAGATCCATCCACTGGTCCTGAGAGAACTAGCCGACCCAAGTTGCTAGGCCACTTTCCACCATATTTGAGGAGTCATGGCAGTCCGGTGAAGTGACCACTGACTAGAAAAGGGGAAACATCACCCCCATTTCCAAAAAGGGAAAAAATGAAGACCCAGGCAACTACAGGCCGGTCAGTCTCACCTCTGTGCTTGGCAAGATCATGGAGCAGATCCTCCTGAAGGCTCATGGCTGTGGCACATGGAAAAATGTGGACATGATTATTGGCAACCAACATGGCTTCACCAAGGGAAAATCCTGCCTGATGAATCTAGTGGCCTTTTATGGTGGAGTTACAGCATCAATTGACAAGGGAAGAGTAACTGATGTCATCTGTCTGGACTTGTGCAAAGCATTTGACACTGTCCCGCATGATCCTGATCACCAAATTGGAAAGACACATGGATTTGATGGATGGACCACTCGGTGGATAAGAAATGGGCTGGAAGGTCCCACTCAAAGAGTTGCAATCAATGGCTCGATGTCTGAGTGGAGACCAGTGACAAGTGGTATTCCTCATGGATCGGTACTGGGACTGGTGCTATTTAGCATCTTTGTCAGCAACATGGGGAGTGGCATTGAGTGCACCCTCAGCAAGTTTGCTGATGACACCAAGCTGTGGGGTGCAGTTGGCATGCTGGAGGGAGGGGATTCCATCCAGAGTGACCTTGACAGGCTGGAGAGGTGGGCCCAGGCCAACCTCATGAAGTTTAACAAGGTCAAGTGTAAGGTCCTGAACCTGCGTCAAGGCAATCCCAAGCACAGATACAGGCTGGGCGATGAGTGGATTGACAGCAGTCCTGGGCAGAAGGACTGGGCCGTGCTGGTGGATGAAAAGCTGAACACAGCCCAGCAGTGTGCGCCACAGCCCAGAAAGCAAACCATATCCTGGGCTTCATCAAAAGGTGTGGGGCCAGCAGGGCAAGAGAGGTGATTCTCCCC